GGGGAGAGAAAGCAGGGGGGGCTTTTGGGGGGGAAACTCAAAGGATCTCATGAAATCTTGTTTGGAAGCAATGAAGCAGCCGCCGACACTCCATTACCGGAGTCTGCAGGGGGTGCGATAGGAAGGAGGCCTCGATCCGCTTAGCGGAGAAGATGAAGAGGAGGGAGGGTGGGGTGATCTTCCGCCCCCTTGTCCCCCTTGGAGGGGCAAGGGGAAGGGGGCCCTCGCAGCCAAGAGGGGTGCAATTATTGTGGGCCTCTGACCTTCCCCGAACCAGTTCCTGCCAGAAACACGGATTTTCTCCCAAAGGGGATTTGAGCAATTTAAAGCGGTTGCAGGTCGTTATGTATTTTCCCCATCCGCCCAGAACAAAATTGCAATGTTTATCAGCCCCTGGGTGCCATTTGCGCGGAGTTCTGCAGGCCGCCTTCTGCTTTTAAATTGCAAACCCAGCACAGATCTTTTTCAGAACAATAACTCCCTTCGAATATATTCCAAATGGATGCATCCTTCCTTTCCTCCTCCTCTTGCATTTGAGGCAGATGCATCGATCAAACACGTCGGACACTGCCAACTCGTAACATTTGTAGACTTCCTTGGTAGGTTTGTCTGCGGCTGCATCTTCCAGCGGTGAGATGCGCCTGCTAAGGAAATATCGTACCCTGGGGCTTCTCTGTGTTAGCCAGTAAGAGAAAAGGCCGTTGTCCATTCTGACGTCGTGCCGGGCCATGACCCACCAGAAGCGTCTACAAGCCGGCCATCGTCCCAAAAATGACTTCTCTCCATCTATTCCCCAGCAATTGGTTCTCAGAGGCTTCCTATCACCGATAGAGATGATCCATAGCAGTGTTTCTCAACCGTAGCAACTCTAAGATGGGTGGACTTCAACTCCCAGAATTCCCCAGCCAGCCATGCTGGCTGGGGAATTCTGGGAGTTGAAGTCCACCCATCTTAGAGTTGCTAAGCTTGAGAAACACTGCTTTATAGGCATAATGCCTTAGTAGCCTTCAATGTGCTGTGAGCATCTTTTAAAGTTATCCGCCTCACCCTGTGGAAGGGCACTTCCTTCTCTAACTCTAATTGAATGACCCCAAATAAGATATCAAAAAAAGAGCAAGGGAAGGGAACTTCCTCCTCTTTTGGCTGTTGACTGCAATTTTCACCGAATAAGGGACAGCCCAACTTTTCCCCCAACCCCAAAACAGGAGTGGGATAAATAGGAAACCTCTCCTAAAGCCCCTGCTAGGCTCGATTCCCGCCGGCGAGGTAGAGGGTCTTAACGTGAAGGAGGGTGGGGGGCATTTACTCCGTGGTGGAGAGAGGGATGAAGCAGAGAGATGGAAATGCCACGTTTGGGGTGAGGTAGGCGTCCCCCTGAATCCGCGCCGGGGATTAGGGGATGGAGGCGGACGCGCACAAGAAAATCTCTCTCTAATGACGGCGAGATCTCCGCTTGGTCGAGCGGTGGTGCCACAGTTGGCGAAGGTCTTGGAAGGATTGACCCTTTACAGATGAAACCCAACTGAGCTTTGCAGATAGGCAGGGAAATAGCCCCTCGGGAGATGGCCCTTCCTCTTTCCCGCAGTCTTGGGTGGGGTCGCGCTCCTGGTTTGCTAACTCCGGGGTAGAAAGACGGGAGCCGAGGCCCAAGGACCCCCTTTGGCGAGCGGGTCCCTTCCAGGATGCCCGGCTTCGGTGCCCACCATCCCCTTTGCCGCCTAGGGATTCTGGGAATTGAGGTTGACCTCTGGGGCGGTGAGGGGAGGTCACCCCGTTTTCGCCAATCAAGGCCGTCCTCCAAAGGTGGGCATGAAACTAGATCCAGAACTGGGGTCTCCCCCTCCAAAGTCTAGAACCGGCGTCTTTCCCTCCCCGGATCCAGTTCTCCAGCCTGGCACCGTCCCCCAACCTGCCCTAAAAACCAGTGCAACGGCCAAGACCGTTCGCGTCTGTTCGTGGCGCAGGGTGTGCCAAAGCGGACTCCGTTTATCGTAAAGGATGCACATTGGCGGCTTGAATCTCCACAGCGAGAAGCCCTTGGGCCAGCTCAGAAACGGAGAGAATTAATTACATTTTTAAAAAAGAAAGGAAGACAGAGAGAGGAAGAGTCCCACTTCTTTTAAAGTGGGGGAGAGAGGGGTGATGAAATCCTGGAGGGAGAAACACAATGGTGGGTTTGAGGGTGGGGAGGGGGCGTCTGTAGACCCAGGAGGGGACCAGCTGGGGAAAAAAACAGGAAAGGAGGGGGGATGAAGGTTGTCACATTTCAACTGCCCGTGGGGCGTCCAGAGATTCAGGCTCCCCAGCGCCTTATTTTAAGCCCAGATCTACTGGGCACCGGGCGGTTCAGCTACAGAAGCCTGTTCTTCTGCACGGAGGTCTAGTTAAAGCCTCCATATCCAGGCATTGTAAACCAGAGAAGATGAGCGTCTCTTCCAGCAAGTCCGCCCCCCGCCCCCCCACGGCTGCAAAAAAATAGAAAATACCCCAAACCAGGCTTCGTTTTTGTCTTTGTCTCTTCCGGCGCCAAGGTCCCAGGCCCCGAATTGAGTGGGAGGGCTGGAGGGCAATGCAAGGGGAGCAAATGGGATTGGGGAGGGGGGCCCAGGAGGATGGAGAGATTTTGCTCCTGATAATAATAATGAAGAGGCGACCGAATACTAATACCTATTGGATACGGAGGGACTATCGATTTTCCGTTAGCAATGGTACTGCCCCCCCCCCAAGAGTAAAATATAGAAAAGCAAGGTCAAAACAGAAAAAGGGGGGATTGAGCTATGATGGGAATAAGCCTTCTCTGTCCCCCCCGCTTGGAGTGGGGGTCTTCAAGTGGTAACAGGGCAGACAAGGAGACTGGGGGAGCCTAACGGGTCCAACTGGGGAGCCCTTTTGCCCCCTCTTCCGCCACTGGGGAGCCCCACGCAGCACGGGCTGGGGGTTATGGGAACTGTAGTTTGAGACATACGGAGAAGCTGGGGTGCCCCACGACAAACACCTTTGGGGCTCTGGGATGGTCACCCAGAGACTCCCACTATAAATCGGGCCACGGTTCCACCGCTGCAGAAGCAAGCCACACGTGGCTTCCGTGAACTCGAAGAGAGGACGGGGCGGCTTGATCCGGTCCTCGCTTGATTTAAGGGGAGACAGCCGTGTGGGCCAGGGCCTTGGGAAGATCCCCCCTTTTCTTGAGAGAGAGCCTGTCCTCCTGGGCGGGGTGGTCGTGAGGAGGATGTGCCACGAGGGAGGAGGACAACGCCGGGCAGGGTGCAGTTCAAGTTCAGCCCACGCTGAGAAACCCACAGACGTTTCCCCGGAAGGCAGTACTCCCTGCCTGTGGGGGTCTCCCCTCCCTCCCAGCCAACTTGGGCTGAGCCTGGAAAAGTGAACAGGCTCAAACTTGGTTAGGCCCATCAGAAGGTCCTGGAATCGCTGGCTGCTCAAGAAAGGGAAGGGAAGGGAGGAGGAAGGGAGGGGAAAAGAGGAAGGGAAGGAAAAAGAGAAGAAGGAGGGAAGGAGAAGGGAAGAAGAAGAGAGGAAAGGGGAGGGGAGGGAATGAGGAAGGAAGGAAAAGAGGAAGGGATGAGAAGGGGAAGGAAGGAAGGAAGGAAAGAAAAGATTGAGGGAGGAAAAGCAGAAAGGAACAAAAAGAGGAAGGGAGAAAGGAAGGAAAAGAGGAAGGAGGGAAAGGGAAGGAAAGGGAAGGAAAGTTAGGAATGGAGGAAAAGGGGAGGGGAGAGAAGTCAGGAAGGAAAGGAGGAAAAGAAGGGAAATTAGGAAAGCAGGGAAGGGAAGTTAGGAGGGCTGGAAAAGAAGGGAAGGGGAGGGAGGGATGAAAAGGGAGGGGAAGTTAGGAAGGGGAGGAAGGAAGGAAGGAAGGAAGGAAGGAAGGAAGGAAGGAAGGAAGGAAGGAAGGAAGGAAGGAAGG